TGCATATTTTTTTTTATCTTGAATATGTATATTTTAGAGTCTTTTCATCGGCTAAATCAGTGACTAACTACAAGTAAATATAATTTTTTGAAAGAGTGTATGCGTGTTTGTGGGAAATAGTATATGTACACATCTGTCAGAAAAGTGTTTAGCTATTTTCAGTATATCGAAAACCGGTTAAGCGGCCTATATCAAGGCAACGAATCAGAGATAGCATTATTGCGCATGCGTACAGAGAAACTCTCGCGCAGAATAACTAAGACGCAACTGAGAGATCTTGTATGCTTTGTTACTGCTGCATTGACGTACCAATTGGCGTTTTTATGTACCACTCAGTGTTTTTAAGCAAAATATCGCATCACCTAATTCTTACAGTATCCAACCAATACAATACTTTAGCTTCTTGTGATTTCTGGGGTTTTCCGACGTTAAAATCGCTGTTAAAGGTGAACAGATTTCACGTCGTGTATGAGATTAAGGAGAGCGTGACATGCAGCTGATGGCGATCCCGAAATAGGATTTAGTGTACTTTGGTGGAAAGTGAAAGGGCCGCTGTGTGGGGGTCTGAGAGAAGTACTTTGAAGTGGGTCAAGGCCCCATTGTCTTAGTTTGGTTATTTTTCGATAACATTAAAGAACAAAACCCTGTCTGGTTCGACGTCATATTTGTGCATTTGATGTAGTTAACTAAACGCCAAAATAAATTTTTAGGGACATTTATTTTTTTCTTTAGCCTACGTATTTAAGAACAAATTCTTTCTTTGAATGTAACACAAAATCTTGTTCATTTTGGAAGGTTGTTTCTTGTTCTGTCTACAACAGAAATTCCAACCTAATCCATAGAGATATATTTACGATACTGTGAATCTTTTTATTTAAATGCCATGATTCTTGAGGATAAAGGCATTCGTGACTCTCGACAGATTACTTTTTTTTCATTATCGCTGAATTGCCATGACTTCTTGGAAATGATAGTGGAGAGTTTTCCTTTTTCCCTTTCCACATTTTTTGAATTCGGAATTGTCCATTTTCAAGGCAGTTTGCAATCCAAGACGAGACGAGTGGGGCGCGTAAGGAAAGGGATTTTTGATTTTCCTAAAGACAAAAGCGCTAAGTGAACGTTATAGATTCAGTCGACATTTGAACTCAGCTCGCCAATCCCACTTTTCGCGCTGACCTCCAGTACGCTATCTGTGAGTATGAAGCAATCGGTAAGGATCGAACAGACCACAGTATCAAATATTTGCTAGACTAGCTTGTTAAGCACTACCTCATGGCTTAGTGCCCACTTTCATTTTAAAGCATGGATCTCGTTTCAGATTTTATTGACAAACATTATCTCTTAAAACATTGGCCACCCGGCATTCTGTGCAATATATGCCTTTGGATATCACGTGTGGGCTTACTTCTGCTCATTAATGAAGGGGAAATAGATATGGATTAATTTCTTAGTTGGTAATTGGATTAAAACTTGTTTATATATATATATATATATATATATATATATATATATATATATATATATAAAGATAGAGAGATAGATAGATAGATAATATTAGTGGCCTATATATATATATATATATATATATATATATATATATATATAGAGAGAGAGAGAGAGAGAGAGAGAGAGAGAGAGAGAGAGAGTGCACGGTGGAGTAGTGGATAGTGGCTTGGATTGAGGAATCGCAGAGCCGAGTTCGAATTCCAGTCGAATCCATTACATTCACTTAATGCTAATACCCTTGGGAAAGGTATGAATCCTCTTCCTCTCCCTCCAGCTATGGGTAAAATAGCAGGACAGACTGGGTTCTATTGCCTTGGATGGCAACTGGTCTAGGAGAAGGACAACTCTGAATTCAAAACCTGCGAAGGGTCGTTTGGGAACCTTGTGGCATTCGGTGCACCAGGTCCCTGTATTCGTCACTTCAAAAAGTGTGGATGGTCCTGCACGAGGCCTTCACCACTATAATCAAATCTCATGTGCCGGTGTCGGGCTGTCGGTTTCCTGGAAACTGATCTGCTTGACCCTCATACGTCGAATCTCGACGGGAGAGTCGATTATATATATATATATATATATATATATATATATATATATATATAGATAATATTAGTGGCCAATATATGTATATATATATATATATATATATATATATAGGTAAATTTCAAGAGGATAGAATCCAGGTAGGACTCAATGTCCAGAACAGAGTAATAATGTAATAAAAAAGCTCAAACACTAATATTCCATGGTTATAATTTATTGCTTTGGAATCGTAATCACGATACAAATTCAAAAAATTTGTAGGTCTGAGGAATTGGATCCTGATTACGATTCCAATGTAATAAATTATAACCGTGTTTGAGCTTTTTTATTATTTTATTATATTTTTATTATATATATATATATATATATATATATATATATATTATGAAATGGACAAATTACCGACAATTGAAAATTGTAGTTTAAAAGTGGAGAATTGTAGTTTAAAAACAGTAAAATCGACTTTGCTAACCGAAACGTTCCTCTGTGGCTCAATCGGTAAAAGCACGTCAGGCTATATGACAGTTCCGTATAGGACACAGAGAGAGAGAGAGAGAGAGAGAGAGAGAGAGAGAGAGAGAGAGAGAGAGAGAGGAGTCTCGTTAAATAATTTAGATAAGTTTTGTCTACTTATTTTTAATGGGATCTTCTCATAATTACGAACAAGTTTCTTAGTATCCATATTAGAGGAAGAAAGAAAATTACCATGTTCATGTTTGACTTTTATCACAATGTCATCAGAGTCTTGTTTTTTCTAAGACAAAAATTGGTCTGTTCATCTGAAAATACGTGTGAAGTGAAAAATGCTAAGGAATGTACTGTACAATTTTAAAATTTTATCATGTAGACACATGCAAACATCAAGAGAGGTAACTAAATTATTGAAATGTCTAATTTTTTTTTTTAAATCAACATGGCAATTTTCTTTCTTACTTTGATAAGGATGCTAAGAAATTTGTCCGTAATTACGAGAGGATCCTATTAAAAATATGTAAACAAAATTTGTCTAAATTATTTAATGAGACATATCTTAATGAAAACATGCTGCCAAAATATACGCAATTTTTATATATATATATATATATATATATATATATATATTATTTATGCGTCATTATAATAGATACAATTAATTTAAGTAAATGTTCTGTTTTTTAATTAAACAGTATTAATTACATTTACCGGTCTGAATATTCAAGAACTTTCGTAGAAAATATGCATTCTCCAACAAGAATAGAACCTTTGTCCTATACGAAACCATCAATTGATCTGACGTGCTATACTACTCAGATATAGAGAAGCGTCTTGTTAGCAAAGTCCAAATATGGTATAATGTATATGTATTCCTGTTAAGTTTCTTTTGTACATAACGTATAATGTATATGTTATCTACCATCGCTCGATGAGGAACGATTAAAGTTCCGAAACATAAAAGTTTTTGTGTAGCGATGTAAAATGCTTTTATTGTAATCTATTATAATAAAAATATTTTAATAATATTATATTTTGTTCTACGTTTGTATTGAGCACTTTTGAAAAAGTAAATGCTATAAATTGTGGATTCTAACTCCATCTGTTCTTTCTCTTTCTTATGAGATTTTAAGTGTTTGACATTCTTTAATTAATATATATATATATATATATATATATATATATATATATATATATATGTGTGTGTGTGTGTGTGTGTGTGTGTGTGTGTGTGTGTGTCGGTGAGAAAAAAAAGAGGGAGTAAATGACCTGGGACAAAGGTTTAAAAATCCATGTAAAAAAAAAATAAGAGAGAGAGAGAGAGAGAGAGAGAGAGAGAGAGAGAGAGAGAAGCAAAATAATACAGAAAAGTTACAAAAGAAAATAAGCAAGAAAGAAATTAATAGTAAGGAAAATAAAGCAAGTAATTAAAAAATAAAAATAACGGAAAGGAAAAGCAAAGAAAGTAAACAAAATGCAAGAAAGAAAGAAAGAAAAAAATAATGGAAAAGAAAAATCAAGCAAGTAAAAGAAAATGCAAGAAGCAAGCAGGCAAGAAGAAAAATCGCCATGAACAAAATTGAAAAGGATCTTGGATTACAAAAAGAATAAATTTAATGGATAAGAAAGAGTGAAGAAAGAAAAACGAATGAAGGAAACAAAGAAAAAGAATTGAAAGAAAAATGGAAGAAAATTAACTGAAACATGTTAGAATAAATGCAAGAAACTAGACTTGTGTCAATGAAGTAAGATGCTATAGTTAATAAACTTGTATGAGTTGCAGCTTTCTGAAAAATCAGCAGCAGGTGACAGTATCCATCGTACAATGGAAGTAAAAGGTGAGCGCCATTTTTTTAGTAATCGGAAGTGACGTGTACACTAATGGCAGATGCTTTGCACCGCCCAATCGGACATATTAATAGCCGGCAAAGTTCTTATTTTCTTTCAACTAAAGCAATTCATTTCTCTTTTTCGATTTTTATTTTTTTTATCTTCTTTCTTTGTTCTTAAATTTGTTTTCTCTTTTCATTTTTTTATTCTGTCTTTTCCCTTCTTTTTCTCTTTTAATATTTTCTTCCTATTCTACTTGTGTGTGTGTGTATGTGTGCGTGTACTATTTCTTAGCTTTTTTTGTATGGTTAGGAATATTTACTTTTTTTTTAAGTAGAATCTTTCATGATATTTTAGAGGAGTCTTTGTTTTTTTTGTGTGTGTGGTAGGATTTTTTTTTATCTCTTCTATTTTCTATGCTTAATCTTTACTTTTATTTCACTGTGCTAAAATTGCATTTTCTTTTTTTTTCCTTTTCTTCTTAATAAGATAATTTCTTTGATTTTTGATAATTTTTCTTCGCTCTATTTTCAATACTCTCCTCGCCCTTCAGTACAACACATTCTGTTTCATTGTTTTCTCCTATTATTTGTTTCAATTTCTTTTTCTTCCGATCGTTTTCTTTTCATTTTTTAAGGAAATAAGAACTTTTTATGGTTCTTTTATCATTACTTGTCTCAATATCACTTTTGAATTTTTTCGACTGTTATTTTCGATTTATTTTTGCTTCATTCCACCATTACTCCTTGCCACCATTCTCTCCTACATTCTTAACTTCTTCCCTCCCCTCTCCTCAAATCTCCCTCCCCACTCTAATCTCGTTCCGTAATTCTCGTTAAAATTCTATTCTTTCTTGCAATGTGTTTTTCATCCTCGTTCTTTCTCTTTTAATTTTTCTTTCAACATCTCCGTTTTTCTCTTTCCATTCTTTCACACTATGGCTCTATCATTTTTATCGGCTATTTTAGTTCATACACTAGTATCTTTACATTGAAGATCTAGAAAGTTTAGAATGCTGTCTGCCAAATTCAATTTGAAAGTGCCCCGAAGCTGCAGCTGAGGAGCTCTCTAATTTGAAAGACGCAAAATGTGTGGCTTCGTTATGGTTGCTATTGCTCACCACCAAACGTAAACGTACAAACACAGTTAAGCATTTTGCAATCGGGCCCTGGTCGATGCTCGTTACAGTGTTAATGTTGGCCAGGCACTGAGGTCGCAAAGCATCGTAGAAACTTATTTTGGTTTCATTGCTAGTATAAAGTATTCGTAGTGATGAAGGTGGGGATGTATTTGGTCGAAAGCCGGCGGGAATGAAGAAAGGAAGTCGAGGCTCTCTAATTTAACCTTCAGGTAAAAAAGAAAGTGGGCTAATACATTAAGCCAACAAATCAGCTCCGTCCATCGATTCTTCTATACTACTTGCTGCCATTTCTGTAACCTTTCTTACAATATCCTTTTGACCTGACTTTTGGGATTATCTGCCCTTGCCTTTCTGTATTCGAATATTTCTCTTTTTCCCTGTGTTTTTGTCTTATAAGCCAAATTCTTCGATTTTTCCAATTTATTCCGTTTCTTTTATTTTAATTTTTCATCTTTCATTTTTCTCATTCGTTTCATTGCCTGTTTTATGCTGTTCAAACATTTTTTTTTTCGTTTTTCGCTTCATTCTTTTTTTTTTTTTTCACCGTTTCGTTGTTGTTCTTTAAATTCTTCTAAATCGTTCTTTTTTTTTTTTTTTTTTAATCAATCAGTTCTGGTTTTCTAGTCATTCCCTTACATTTAATCGATTCTGTTTCTCATATTCTTTTTTCCGGTTTCCTTCTTTTCATTTTCTTTCTGCTTAAATTTCCCGTTTATTCAGTCATCGAGTCTTCACAATATTCTTTTATCTGTCAATCTTTTTTTACTTCTTGCTGTATTCTTTTTCGGTCTTTCTACGCCTCGTTATTTCCTGTTAATTTCTACATCCCCCCTCTTCCCCCTCCCCTTCCCCTCCCTCTTCCCCCCCCCTCCCTCTTCCCCCTCCCCTCTCTTCCCCTCCCTCTTCCCTCCCTCTTCCCCTCCCCTTCCTCTCCCCCTCTTCCCTTCCCCCTTCCTTCTTTCTTTCAATTCCACAAATCACTTCGATTCCACTTTGATTGGTTCCTTACAACTTTCAGCAAGCTTACTTATACGATTTTTTTTCAAAAAGTAAAAAAAAACTGAAAGCGCTTTTATTGTGGCGTTGTGTCAGACTTCGCAAAAAACTTAAAATATATGGTGGCGGTGTTTCCAAAGTAGCGCTGCTTCATGACATGAACCATTTAGCTAATCCAATGAATTCTGATTGAGGGCTTCATTACTTTAGCCTTGTGCCAGTCTCTGAAGGGATTCTATAGAACTGCATACACTTTTACAGGCGAATTCACAATTGTAGCGAGATTTCTTCTAGTCTTCTAGGTGTGTTCTCCATTACCATGGTCAAACTATATTGAAGTCAATGTTTTTTACTGATGCAAGAGGCGGCTGTTCGAGCCAGTTATTTTCAAAATATCCTAAACTTCGTTTGGAAAACTGACGCAACACAATCTTCCTACTCCCAGTTACTGCCATTTGATTTTATTCAGTGACTGGTTTAAACTAGACAAATGAAAATGTTAAAAAGATTTGCTTTCCTTGAAAATCAACGTTTAAAATTTTTTTTTCTATTTTTTTTTTTTTTTACAAGCGCTTGAAAATTAATTTTTTGTGCAATTAATTTTTTGTGCAAGTGGGAAATTTGCAATTATCTCCGTGATAAGGTAGGCCCCAAGCTCAGTAAGTATTAATATAGACAGAACCAAAGTTTGACAAGAACCATGTGACAGTGGGGTGTAGTCAGAAGACATAGGAACAGTTGACTCCTGTCCGGTATGCCAGTATTTTCAATTCTTACCACGGCGCTCGCTAGGATGAGAAGAAATGTCGGTTTAACGTGGGCTTCCCATACGTGTACACACGGACCAAGGGGGCAAACTGTCTCTCGTTATCTTTCGGTTTACTTCTCTTCTTACCATGTCTTAATTCCTCTCTCACATGGTGATTTTCTAAGCATAGCTTAGATGTGACACAAGGCCGAAAGTATGAGGCACCCAGTGAGACTCCAACTCACTATTCAGTCGTGATTGTTCTAGCACGCTTTCGCTCGCACATGTCCTCTCCATATTTCTACATATTTTCGACGCCATTACTCTTACCGACTCGTACACCCCCCCAAAAAAAAATATATAAATAAAATAAAATAAAAGAACTCCCAAATCATCAGTCTGTCAATCATCCATTTTATTTTTTGTTTTGTTTGGAAACCACGTCATACGGCTGCTGGTGATGGTTCAGGAGCGTGCCGCTGTCGTTTTGACGCGTGTCTCGCGAAAGAGCAGGAAACGTAATAATTGCCGAAACGAATCCCGCTGTGTCCTTAAATGTGACACGCCCTCCAAACACACGAGACATTTGGTGGAGACGTATAAGGGCCCGGGAGTGCGAGAAAAGTAAGGAGCGGGATGGGTCGCGATAATAATAATGTATTCATTGAGCTCTTAATAGGAGGGTGTCAACAACTAGGTCTTCATTGTTGCTACTTCCAGAGAAACGATACCTATAACAAGAATAATATAACAATCCATCTCTTGCCACCCCTTCCTCCCCGCAAAAGAAAGAAAGAAATAGAGAGAGAGAGAGAGAGAGAGAGAGAGAGAGAGACTGATTGCTTGCGGGCTTGTTCTAAAGAGTAGAATCATAACTAGAGGTTTTACACGTTTCTATTAGGTAGATCCATTTTTTTTACTAATGTTCATCCACTACAAGGCCCAAGAGCCACTCAAGATGTAGGATTACTGAATGAGGTTATTGCATAAGAGGCGTAGGTAAGAAGTCCATTTTATGAGGATATCTTCTTATATATCTATAATTTCCTGAAAATGTGTGTATGCGCGCGCGCGTGTGTGTGTGTGTGTGTGTGTATGCGCATGTGTCTGTGTGTGTGTGATCGGATGCTGTTTATGCGTTTTCACAGTTTTCATCCAATTTCGATGAATTTTTTTGTTTTTGTTTTATAGATAATTCTTCAGTGTTGGTTTTGAGTCCAAATTAGCTGGAAAAAATTACAACCTTGAAGGTGAAAAATTGAAATCTGATTTTTTACACTTTGCGCAAATACAAGGCACAATTTAATGTCTGTAAAACAACAGCGTACAATCAATTTAGAGAGTTGAAATCTAACGCAAAAGATTATTAGAATTATAAAAAAAAATATATTGTAAATAAAAATTATCGTATATTATTATTATGACGGTCCATGGAAGAAGTTCCTTCGTCGCAAGGTTGAGAAGGCAAAAATGGCCCTTTTCAGAGCCATACCCCCATTCAAATTGTTAACCCCCATTTGGGGATTTGCCTCAGTTGCACCCAATTGTTGTTACTAATATTATTAGGGTGAGCTGACATTAAACTTAAACCGATCCAACTGAACGGTAAACATTCCCAGTAATGAAACACTCGGTCGAAGACGGATTATACTGCTAGTATAGGATAGATAACATTTAACCCTAGAGTTGAAGAGATTAAGATTGTAGTGATCTGGAAAGCATCCTCACGGGAGTATGTTCCAAAAACAAAAAACAAACAAACCCCAAAACAGCAATATTTGGGGAGAAGCTGTCCAGATGGAACTTCTTCTTTACAAATGGAATACGAAAGGAATGGGGTAGTTTGAAAGTCAGAATTGATGGAACCAAGGAATAAAGCTCATTAGAATATTTACCATGGAAATAGCGATAGAGCAGCGAGAGGCTCGCGAGAGGCTCGCGATGTTTAGTTTGTGGGGAAAGGGGTTTTAGCGTGGGAGATAATTCATCCCCAGTAAGGCTATGTGGAAGCTTTCAACAGGGAAGCTCCAGCACAGGTATTGCAGCAACACTCCATTTTTGGTCTGATCTGGTTCTTGTACAGATCGAGAATATCAGAAGGACTCAGGTACTTACTGGGGCGGTACAAGAAACAACCATTTTCCCAGCATATCTAGCGATTCGTGAGAAACAAGAATAACGATTTTGTAAATTTTACCAAGATTGGTTAAGTGCCATAAACGGCCACACGAAGAAGAAAGACACTAGGTAAAGCTTGTATCAATATTTCAAGCAATGAAGGCGCTATCTGTTTCGAAATCAATGCTCAAATTTACATTGCTCGGACTATCATCCTCATCTTTGTTGCCAAAGCTGGACGACACTTCGCAGATACCTCTCCCGAGTAAGATCCCCCATAGAGGAGAACATGACTAAAGACTGTGTATATTCCATCTTGTGCAGCTGCGAAAAGAAATATAAAGGGGAGACAGGCCGCCCCCTTAAGGTAAGGCTTCAAGAACACCAAAAAGCTGTAACACGAGGGGAAGTGGAAAAATCAGGCGTGGTTGATCACATATGGAGGGAAAAGGGAAATCACCGCCCTCTGTGGAAATCATAGACAAAGAACATCATTAGAAAATTCGTAAACTTAAGGAACAGCACATATGCTAGGCCACAAAAATCTCCTGAGTCGACCAAGCATAGAAATGAATACAATATGGCAACCAGTAATAAGGAATGCCAGAGAAAAGCAATAATAACAACGAAAATTGCAATATGAACTCTGGTTAAAAAAATTAAATGATAACAGCAAAAATTGCAATATGAGCACTGGTAAATATGATTGCTGAAGACATTAGGTTTATAATATCCAGAAATTCATACACAGATGTCCTCAAGGACACATGGCACAGTGGATAAAGGCGTTAGTTAGATCCAGTGACAAAAGCCAAATTAGTGTGTGTTCAATACCTTGTTAAGGCGGTGGAGAACTTGGTGAGGTGAATTAACAGGAGATAACTGATAAGTGACGTCTACCTCAGCGAGCGAATTAAAGGAAACAGTTCGACATTCCAACCACCTATCGAAACGTTGTGATAAATATGGCAACAAAGATGAGGATGATAGTCCGAGCAATGTAAACAGTGTACATAATACCTCATATCAGAAATATGCTGAAATTTATTTTTTTTTAATCTCTGCTCGAACACGGAAAACTGTTTGATGAAGGTATGCCAAGTACTGGCAGTATTATTATGATTATTTTTTTCAAAGTGGGAAGAGGCCGTGCTCTGAACAATGATGACAACAGTGGCGTAGCCAGAAGGGAGCGGAGTTGATTGTCTGCCCCGGGTGGCATTTTTGTGTCTGTTGTAGGCTGTAAGCCTATAGAGGCTGTATTGAGATAAGTGGTTTTAATGTTGAGACAGTACTCATAATTGAAGGATCTGTTCGATTTTGGTAACTTAAACTATGGCATTTATATTGGTCTATCTATTATAGGTTATTAATCATTCAGTGAGACTTAAACGGTCCTCTCTCCCCAAGCAGAAAAACCTATTTACTTCAGTTATCTCTCTTGTTAATTTGAACAACACAAGCTGCAAATCTTTTCAAGTGAGTAAACAAACTTCTTATATTTTGTTGCTACCTGTAAGAGAAGTTTTTTTTTTCAACTGATCAAGAATTACTTAAATATCTACCAGGGCACCTCGGCATGGTGTAATGGTTAACAAACTTGTCTTACTAGAACCACTACAGCTGAGCAGTGAGTTCAATCCTCGCTGGGTGCCCCATGCTTTCAGCTATGTGCTACATCTAAGCCGCGCTTAGAAAATCATTTGGACACCCCGAGGCGGTGTAATGGTTAGCAAGCTTGTCTCGCTAGCACAATTACGAATGAGTAGTGAGTTCGATCCTCACTAGGTGCCCCATATTTTCGGCTTTGTGCTACATCTAAGCTACGCTTGGAAAATCGCGAAGGGCACCTCGACGTGGTGTAATGGTTAGAAAGCTTATCACGCAAGAACTGTTACAACTGAGTAGTGAGTTCAATCCTTGCTGGGTACGCTAAGCTTTCGGCCTTGTTCCACACCTAAGCTGTGCTTAGAAAATCATTAATACTTACCTGGCACATGTCAGAGGGTATCCCCCAGACGAGGCTCTGCCGAAGGGCAGAGTCTCGTCTCGGGAAACTGACTCCGTTTTTACGTGGTCTATGGGGAATTTTTGCCCGAGCCTACGGGCTCGGATACCCCACTTTAAAACCCGGCCTTGTGCCACATCTTGCTGCGTGGGACAGCGGGCAAATAATTACTTAAATATCTACTATGAGCACCAAGCGTTTGAGAAATCTAGCCATACTGTTTATAGAGCGACAATTGACAGATGGGATAGTTTTTGACGACGCCATTGAAGAATTAGCTAAGAAAAAAACAACAACAAAAACAAAACAAGAAAAGTTATTTTGTAAAAAGTTGTAATTTTCATTTCAGAAATGCCTAATTTTTAACACCTTTCCCCCTATATGTCGTTTTGGCTTTTTAACTGTTACTAATAAAGTTTAAGTATATTTTGTGTGTATTTAACGCATACTATATTTGAGTATGTGAAAGTAATATAATGGTACACAAACTAGTTTATATAAATTTAAGAGTGAGTCACTATGCAATATGTATTTTTGAAAGCGGGCGGGAGGTGGCAAACTCAATCGCTTCCCGGGTAGCACACATTCTATCTGTGCCACTGTTCTTATGGTAGACTTTTCTCTTTCATGAGACTTATCTACAGCTTTACCCAAAAGGGTGATGTATGCTTTATTATTTTTATTATAGAGAAAAACTAAAATACAAGCTAAGTTCACACATCAGTTTCAGAAAGATAATAAATTGCTTCCGCTGTAAAATAAATGAAAAAGAAAGAAACGCCAGAAAATAATAGAATTTTGGCCAATCAAAAAAAGAAAAAAAAAAGTAGACTTTTGATGTTAGCTGAAACCAGGCTATAAATTCTATGCTATAAATCTGTATCAGCTGTATTGAAATAAAAGTGGTTTTAATGTTACGACAGCACTTACAGTTGAAGGATTTTTTCAGTTTCGAGTAACTTAAACTATGGCATATGTATTGGCCAAGCTACTCTCTGTAGATCGACAATTGTCAGTTGGAATAGTCTTTGACAATGTCATCGAAGAATTTGCCAACAAAAATCCAAGAAAAGTGATTTTGTAGAAAGTTGTAATTTTCATTTCAGAAATAAAAATGGTCTTAATTTTTTTTCTCCTATATGTCGATTTTGCTTTTTAAGTATTACCGATAAAGTTTAAGTATGTTTAGTGTGTATTTAAAGCATACTATATTTGAGTATGTTAAAGTAATATTATAATGGTACACAAACTAGTTAATATAACTCTAAGAGTGAGTCACTGTGCAATTATGTATTTTGGAAGCGGGCGGCAGCAAACTCAATGACTTCCCGGGTAGCACACACTCTAACTGTGCCACTATTCTTATGGTAGACATTTTTCCATCATGAGATTTATCTACAACTCTACCCAAATAGATTATTTTTAATGTGCTTTTTTATTTTTATAGCGAAAGACTAAAATATAAGGTAAGTTGATCAATACATCAGTTCAAGAAAGAAGCCAGGATTGCAATAGTGCGCGACTGGGATCAATAGGAGAGAAAGTCTATTGTCCAGAAGGCCTGAAATTTTCAACGATTCCTTGAGATAACACAGGAGAGGTATTCTGGAGAATGCTTAACATGTATTGCTCAAACAGTATTTTATTGCAGTTGCTGGTATTAAAAGTGAGTATAGAAAAGTTACTTTATAAAAAGTTGTAATTTTCATTTCAGAAATAAAGATGGCCCTAATATTAGGTTGGTGCAAAAATAATGTCGTTTTTTGACGTTCAACTTAACGTCAAAAAACGACATTATTTTTGCACCAACCTAATATTTTAAACTTTTTCTCTATTATGTCGTTTTTGCTTCTTTTTTTTTAAAACTCTGACTGATAACGTTTAAGTATGTTTGGTGTGTATTTAAAGCATACTTTATTTCAGTATGGGAAAGTAATATAAGGGTAAGCAAACTAGTTTTGTAAATTTAAAAGTAAGTCACTGTACAATATATATTTTTTTGTGGGGGCCGGCAAACTCAAGGGCTGTCCCAGGCGGCCCATACTGTAGCTGTGCCACTGGATGACAGACCCCCAAAACAACTAATCAACATCATAGAGTCACAAGCTTTGCATCGATGTTTACCTCCTCCGATAAATGGTGTCATAGCAAGGTCTAAGGCTTCTCTCACTTCTAGTGTACATTTTGTGTGCTTACTTCTGTAAGAAAATTAATCCTCCTTTTGACAGGTCTTGTTTTTAATACCGCTGGGTGTCTAGCCACACTCCTCAAGTGGGTGAACTGCCAATAACCCGATCATGCCGTAAGTAGTACTGGGTTGCATGATACCAGTAGTACTTTTAGAGTGACCTTATTATATGCGTGCTGTTACATGAGTATGGCCATCATTTTTTTTATATATCCGAGTTTGGGAATTCAGAGTTTTCCTTCTATCAGAATGGCTGCCAACCAAGGATAAAGTGTACCTACTATTTAACCCAAGGATGGGGCAAAAGATGGAATCATAACTTCCCCAAGGGTTCGAACTCTGCTTGCCGATTTCTCGCTCCGAGCCGCTAGCCAATATAACATCCGCACACCCAACAACAAATGTTAAGATGTGCTTTGATTTTTACATATTTATTTAACCTAGGTGTTTTTTTTTACAAATGTCTAATTTGAAACGGTGCTTACATCATTTAAAACTGCATATACATTTTTTATAATTTTCTGAATTTGTTAACGTTTTTAAACCATTTTTTTTTTAAATTTTGAGCGGGAGGCCGGTGAGTTTTGTTCGCAAGTAAATGTAAAAATATAATAATGGTTTATGTTAAACGAAGAATAAATGACACATATACTTTTAATATCTGTCTATATTTCTGAGATGAGGTATTGTAATTATTTACATTGTTCGGACTGTTGTCTTCATCTTTATTGCCATATTCGCGACGTTTCGGTCGTTATGCTATCTGGCCTTCTTCATGATCTGTCTATATTTCTCAGATGAGGCATTCTAATTATTTACATTATTCAATTAAAAATGTATATATCCATTGGTTCTTTATATAAAACAAACCCTTTTCAACAGGAGAGTCTGTTATGTCCAGTTAACTTTATAAAAGTTTAGAATAGGCAGTATTAACATTATGACCAGAATACTAAAAGATAAAAAATATTCTTCGGTTCTGGCAAATATCTCGCCATGAGGATTGATTGATTGAATTTTTTATGGCTTATCAACCTTTTGTGGATCATTTAAGGCCGAAAGATGAAAATAAGAGAAAAGGATTATATAACTGAATCAGCGTTTTTAAATTTGGCCTACTTTTACCATATATGACAATTCATTATCTATCTATCTCTCTGTCACAATAACTTCATTATCTATCACAATTTCTTCATTATCTATCACAATATCTTCACATTTATCTATCTTAATTATCTCATGATGCACATGTTCTTTAATAAGACTTTCGATTTTTTTTATCAGTAAAAAAAAAAAAATAAACAAAAGAAGGCAGACTACTGAAACACGTGTACGCACGAAATATAACTTTAATAGTAGTTATAATAGATTAAAAATACGATTAATTGCTTAAAAATTATCTATCTATCTATCTATCTATCTATCTATCTATCTATCTACTCGTGAGACACATTTTCTTTAGTAAACACTTTCGATCACTAGTCCGGTAGATATTAATTGCTCTGTTAAAAACGCATGGGTGTGTACTCAAATCATGTTATAACTAAATATAACTTTTATAGGAATTAAACATAATGTTGGGTTAAAAATGCCATTAATTGTTAAAAAAATTGTTCAGCCATGCTTAATCGTCAAATGTCATTCGTCGCTGAGTCGGTATAAGCATGTCGTATCTAACGAGGGTTTTTTTTTCTGACAAGGGAGACGATGTTCGAATCCTTCCGCCGAGCGCATATTTTAATTTAATAAAATTTATCGTCTTTTTAGACCAGTAGACGAAAAAAAAAACAATCCAGTTAAATAAATAAACGGAGGGTCTACTCAAATATTAGTATCCACTAAAAATAACGTTTAAGTGATAAAATCTGTCGCATTAATAAATTAAAAAAATCCATTATTTCTTTAGAAATTTCTTTGTTTACATTCGTCTATGAACTTTCGAGAATCTGAGAAGGATTTGCATTTATAAGATAGTATTTGCATGATCGGTGACAGTCTTCGTTACTGAGTCAGGATCTAACGACGGATTCTCCTGCAAATGGGAACGCAAGTTCATATTCAGCCGGAGAGTGCATATATATATATATATATATATATATATATATATATATATAAACAATCGGATGTCTAGCCACACTGAAGAGTTGTGATATAGCGAAACGGTCTGTCTGTAGATGACTATATATATGCTCTCAGAGACCCTTCGATAGAGCTCTATAGAGAAAAGGGTAAATTTAATAAAAACAGTGGCTGCTGCTGCTATGAATGCATTTCTCTTCAAGTACGAATTGAGTCCTCTTAGCCGCTGGCGTATTTCGTATAGAAAATGCTAAAACTTTCCTTTCTCTCTGTCGTGCGCCGACGGCTTAGGGGTAGGATCAAATCAGTCGAGTTTCGATCCCGCATTGTAGCAATCGGACGTCTAGCCACACTGAAGACCTGTGATACAATGAACAGTATCTGTGGATGACTCTATATATATATATATATATATATATATATGAAATCATAGCTTCACTTGATGTTGAAAACTTATTTATCAATATCCTGTTAGTGAAACTAAGTCAACATATATATATATATATATATATATATATATATATATATATATATATATATATATATTAAAGACATTTTATGTTTAACGTTCTTTTTATAGATACAAGTATTTAAGTAAATGCTCTGTTTTTATAATAAACAGTATTAAATAACATTTACCGGCCTGTATCTATAAAAAGAACGTTAAACATAAAAATGTCTTTAATAAATAAATTGTCGGACTTTGTCCATTTCTTAATATATATATATATATATATATATATATATATATATATATATATATATATATATATATGTGTAATGTATGTATAAGCAATAATGCAAAAACCTATTTTGAACGTTTTCATTTAGTCAGCTGTTCACTCAACTTACCTGTATGCGTGCCTCGTTGAGTTTCGTGATCCGGGCGAGTTCCTCCCGGCAGTATATGTCAGGGTAGTGGCTTTTGGCGAAGGCAGCCTCCAGTTCTTGAAGCTGTTCCTGGGTGAAAGTGGTCCGATGTCTTCGTCTGGCTGGAGTTGGGCATGTACCCGTCGAGGTGTTACCATGTTGCACCGCGGCGCCAAGGCCCGAGCTGGTCCCCATACTGCTCACGGGACCTGACCCGCCCCCACCACCACCACCACCGCCGCCGCCGCCTCCGCCTCCGCTGCTGCTGCTACTGCTGCTCCCTTCGGTTTTTAATTTCTTAAACGCGCCCTCTTGGCCTGAAAGGAGAGAAGAAGAAAAAGAAGGTAATCAAACTGACCAAAGTTGTGCAATGAAACGTTATTTTCATTAGTAGATTTCACGCTTCTTTGATACGCCAAGTCCATTCATGACGTGGGAGATCATGGCTCTTCACAGCTTCCTGTCTTTTGTTGCTCTTTTTAACTCTTTACCTTTCTTTGTTCCTGATCCGCTAGCTATTCGCGCAAACTCGTTAAGCAGGCTACACGATGTTTCCCGCTGTTTCTCTTGCTTTCAATCTATCATTTGAGTATTAAGTTCTCTAGGCCCGCTTTCCTCATTATGTGTCCTAGAAATTCCAGCTCTTTCGGATTGTAAATATAAGTTTCTATGTTCTTTATGTCACTTCAAGTCTCCTCTCGGTTTACGGCCACACCACGTCGAATCACCTGTTCCCGTGTGATCACTGCTTGGATGTACGGGTGAGTCATTAGGCTACCCGTATACCCAAACTTACAGCACCTAGTATTCCAAAGCAGTTACCCATCTAAGTGCTGACCAGGTTCGACGTCGCTTAACTTGCTGTCAACGTAAGCCTAACACGAGTACTGAGATTTGTTCTTACTTTCATACCTAAGCTTACAACGTAACAGGGATGAGCGGGTGGTATAATGCATAACACTTCGGAATCAGAAATCGAAGAGCCGAGTTCGAATTCCACTCGAGTACGTTACATTAACTTTGGCGCAAATGCTCCTCCCCCAAGGTATAGATATAGCTTAGATAATAAGACTTGTATCTGGAAAAAAGCATTTAAAAAAAATATTAATGCAATATTCGCTCGCAAAAAAAAATTTATTCTTACAATCAAAATATGTTTCGATTTTAACCCTTTCAGCCCTGACCACCGCTTTACCGGTGGTAAAGTAAAATGACGTAATGCCCAACCGCCGGTAAATACTTGTAACTATTTTTATATCTACCGTGAAACATTACATACCAATTATTTGCGAATTTTGACTTAGGAGCTCAGGCAGAAGGGTTAAAATTGTTCAGGGTTGATAAGCTGTAAAATACAACTCAGTCAATCAACAACATTGCAACGCATCAACCTGGCATTTATCATAATGGCCTTCATTTTATTCAGAACGTTTTACGAATCACAATTATACAGCAATGAACAGTCGAATAAGTTTCACTATACAACCATTGACCATTCAACGATTTCTATTAAAATGCTAAAAACACCCGCACACTGGCCAATTTATTGAAACGGTTATACAATGACTATTTTGCTGAAAGAATTAATACAAAAGCCAACATAAAGCGTATCCGTTCAGGATGATATGTGTTGACTATTTACTGTCAGGTTTTTTAGTCGTTGTTCGTAGCCCTCTTTCATAAGCTTATTACTCTTTATAAAGATATTTATGTGATGAAATTTAGGTTGGCTGGTTGGGTTAATAACTCATTACACGATAAACTACATCCGCGTCCTGGGTAAGACGATATAAATTACGTCCAACAACAAGGCCTCAGGGGGTTTTGAAGAACGTGGAGCCACCTCTTAATTGGTGGTATTCCCAGATTCACTCTGACCCGGGGTAGTAACACCTGACAGGGTGCAAGCTATGAGCAAATAGTTAACCCCCAAACTGGGGTAAAAACACTATGAAAGTGGAAAAATAGGTTTTAATGCCAAAAATACTTTGAAAAAAAATATTACCAGCAATACATTTTTGAAAAAAAGATATTACCAGTAAAAGATTTTTTGGAAAAAAAAATAATAATAAAAGAAGATATTACCAGAAATAGATTTTTGAAAGAAAAAATATTACCAGCAATAAAAAAAAAATTGTCGGCATTAAATAACCCATTGAGGTTGATATGCCGTAAACCAAACCAAACCAAACCAATAACTCATTATTGAAACACTGACTAAGCAAACAAAGAAAAAAAGAAGAAGAAAGAAGCAGAAGATTAACATCGTTTTGCAATATGTCTCATCATATTCAGAAAGAATATTAGGCGTCTCAGTAGGGGTTTATAGTTAACGAGTTAGGCTGGCATTGACCCTTACAGTACACTGTATTTGTGTCCTTGTGTTAAATTCAACTTAGAAAATAAGCGTGCATCATAGTGAACCAAAAGGTGAAATGGTAGATCATTTATAGTGAGCCTGAGCCTCACTAGGTGCCTCATATTCATGTGTTTATGCCTAGACTAAGCTGATGCTTAGTAAATAATAAGGATGCTTTATCGTAGTGGAATGGTGAGCAAAGGAAACTTGTTGATCATTAGTAGCGAGTTCGAACCTCACGATGTGCCACATACAACTTTGTGCCAAAACTAAGCTAAGTTTAGTATATAACAACATCAGGCCTCTCGGTATGGATTAATGATTAGCGAATAAATCTGCTTGATCCTTATTAATATGTAAGTGAGTGCGATCCTCACTAAATGCTGCATATTTATGGTCTTGTGCCAAAACTAAACTATGTTTAGTAAATAATAACACTGGGCCCTTCGGCGTGAAATAATGCTGAGAGAACATGTTTGAGTGACCATTAGTACTGTCTAGTAAGTTTGTCCCTGACTAAGTGTCACATAATTATGGTCTTGTGCCAAAACTAAACTATGTTTATTAAATAATAATAGTGACTCATAGTAGCGGAATGGTGAGTAAGCTGAACTTGTAGATCATGAGTAATGAGTTCGATCCGCACTGGGTGTCCTATAATTTTGACAATGTGCCACTACTAAGGTATGAATAGGAAATAACAACGAAACATAAATAACACTCTGTAAGGATCGAGTTCGTAATAACTGACATGTGATGTCACTTTGCGAATTTCGAACCAATCGCTTCATAAATAACTTATCTAATTAACAAGAAATTAAAGTGATAATGAATAATCGTTGTGTTCTGTGTCGTCTCGGGATCCCCACGTTTTTTAATAAAAACGGTATTAAAGAGTCATTTACTTTTGGTATTCGTTTTATTAACCCTCGCAGCTTGGAGTATAAGAGGCAGTAGTAGGATTGACGTGACAGGAACGTATGTCGCACGTTGGCTCAGCATCCCACCGCGGGTGGTCTTAGCCGGTTTCTCAACCTGGATGTGGGAGGCATATCGACGTGTTAGAATTCACGAGACCCTCTGTTGAATTCGCGCCGTTTTGGCCTTATATTCAAAACCCAGACAAAGGCAATCCGCCACTGTCAGAATGACCTGGTCAATCGCTGAGCATTCTGGTCTTGGCCTTCCACATTCTGTAACATAATTCTGTTCTCTTAAAAAATTATATTTAATCAAATGTTTTAGTCATACTGGTTCAGGTGGCGTAAGGTTTAGATACACGAAAAATGGAATCGGCGAATTCAAGCCGAGACAGTTTATGGTCACTTTGCAGTATTACATTCGGGAAAGGCAAGAATCTGTTTCTTTTCTCCCACTTCCCAGCTATGTGTAAACAGTTTACGAGAAGCAACACATTTGGGCGTGGAGCTAGCAACTTCATCCCGTAAAATGCACTTGTTAAAGAACACATAGCAGCATCTAGTGTGGTGTTGATGCTCCATAGGGAGTCTACAGTTTATAAGAAATCTTCTTTTATATGTTTCAACTTGTTCATTCTCCGAATTTCTAATTCCATGATGTACATAGAAAGATAATATGTGAAATTTCGAATCGTGGGATGAAATGAAAGAAGTAATAAAAAGTAAACGTTTCTTGTTCTGAGGTTGCGCAATGGCGTCTTGGTGAAAAAAGGTTTTGAAAATTGGAAGCGAATTGGAACATTACGAAGACGGAAACGAAAAACTGTCATAGAATGAAAGATCAGTGAGAATAATTAACCTGTAGAAAATTTAATTATATCCATCTACAAGGACGACTGGGGCATATTTAGAGATTCGACATTTTTCTTTTCTTTCTATATTTGCATTCTGACAGATTTTAGGATAAACACTGAATTTTTTTAGCGATAATAATAGCACCGCAAAGCTGATATCGACATACTCTATGCAAATAGAAAAGAAGGATGAGGAAGACTCGTTTTCAGTGAGCTATGGGGTTTGCAAAATATGCAGAACAGAAAAATACACAACAGTAAAATAATTGTTAAAACGATAACACACGATGTAACAGCACAGGAAAAACCCACAGGGAATTCAAAAGACAAATAAAGAAAACGTGCCCTACAGGTATTCACTAAAAATAACGTTTGAAGTTATAAAAACGAAACCTTATAAAAAAATTAATAAAACCATATAGAAAAGCTTATTAAAGCCTTATAAAACCATATATAAAACTTTATTTAAGCGTTATATAAACCTTATTAAAATCTTGTATCTTTATGAAACATTTTTAAAGCTTTTTATAAATATTATTACTATCCTATGAAAGATATATAAAACCTTATTAAAATCTTATATATATATTTATAAAACTATGCTAAAGCATTTATAGATATTAGTAAAATCTTTAATAAAACCTTATATAAAACCTTATTAAAATCATATATGTATATATTTATAAAAGCCTGTTAAAGCCTTTTATAAATATTATTAAAATCCTTATTAATTCTCATATAAAACCTTATTAAAATTATATAGAAAGCTTAAAACTTAGACAAAACCCTATGAAAACTTATAAAATCATACTGAAACTTTATATAAACTTTATAAAAACCTTATAGAAATTTCTTAAAACGTTATTAAATCTTATAGAAAACCTTATTAAAAACGGTACTACTTAAGTATTCTGGTTGCCTTGTAAAAAATAAGCTCTACATTTTGTTGGAATCGGAATTTTTTTTTCGGGGGTTCTGCTCATAATATCGATGCAGTGTAAAATCGATCGTAACGCTTGAAGAACTATTCTTACTTATTTTTTGTATTTAAAATGTCAAGTTTTAAATTGTGCTAATGTCATTGATATCTACGTACAGAAACAGACATTTGTTATTTTATTTTTATTTTTTATTTTATTTTTTTATTTTAGTTTTTATTATTTTATCTTATTTTTTTTATTTTAGTTTTTATTATTTTATTTTTATTTCATTTTATTTTTTACACAAGATTATTTTTAATTAAAGAACACGCAGATATATACATATTTTAAACAAGCAATTGTTTGTCAGGCAATTTTCTTTAAAATATGCATATATCAGTTTGTTCCTTAATATAAAAAATATATATCGGCATGTTCTTCAATTAAAAGGAATCTTTTCGCAAAAAATGTAAACTAAATGTCAAAAGAAATATTTTTGTAAAATGCGTAAAATAATTTATTTCACCAGACCAAAAACTTGCTTGTTTAAAATATTTCCTTAAAACTAAAATACATACAAATGAATATGTCTATTTTTACTTTATTTAAAGGAAATCTTTTGTAAAAATGAAGTTTGTTTTCCTACGAAAATTTCAATGTCACAAGCACAATTTTAAACGGGACATTTGTTGCGGAAATGGAAAGTATCATTTTATGCCTCCATGTGATAGATTGGAACAAAAACAACTTCAGTCTAGATATAAAATTACTTTACATATATATATGTGTGGGTCTTTCCGTGTGTTGGACGTAAGAGGGGAAAGACGAGCATTCAGTTTGTTCTCTTTTTGTCTCGTCTTGGTTGAGGAGGAAGTGACGTAGGGCGTTTCTGATTGGTCGCTTGCTATTTCAAGCTCAGCAGTGGCGGTTCTTTATCTGTCTGTTGTCGTGTGCTTAGTGGATATTTGCTTCAGGATCGCCTGCCGGAATAGGCATTGTTTCGGTAGGGTCGCTTGGTTGAACAGGTGTCATGACCCCAGGTCATAACATCACCGATGAGGCTATCCTGCTCACCCCTTGGGGTATATTCATAACACACACACACACACACACACACACACACACACACATATATATATATAAAGTGTTTCAGAACAATTGATATTGTAATTTAATAACTTGACCGATTCTCGTTCAAATGATCTCAAAGGTTAACAGCACCTTTATAAACAGCATAAAATTCTATGTTTAATGTTTTTTTCCTTTTCAGATATAGATAGACCTTTTTTATTCATTGGAAAAAACGGCCTTTTCAGTGTTAAAGTATGCTTCAATACAGTCAAATAAGACTGTGCAGTGTGCATTTGTGAGTGCTACAATTGCAATTCAGATTTGGACTTGCAACAAAAAATTCAAAGAACGTGTCTGGCTAAAGCTGGACTACTGACCTGACGTCTGCTGTGTCACGGTGCACACAATGAAAACTTGTAAAAATGTTTTCATTGTGCGCACCGTGACATAGCAGTGGAAACGTTCATGAAATTCACAAAACCTTGAATTTCTTATTCAAAGTTTGATGAATAAATCTTATGTAGCCCAACAATAACCTTGTTTAGTTTCGCGTCCTGAGTATGACGTTAAACTACATCTGCGTCCTGGGTATGACGATAAACTACATCCAACAGCAAGGCATCGGATAATGTTTTCAGAAAAATAATCTTGCCAGCTATACGTTTTTGGGGAAAATAATGTTGCTAGCTATACGGTTAATAGTACTGTATATTTAATATGTATAGGTGTGTATATATATATATATATATATATATATATATATATAACTTAATTTGGCATTAAATGACCTACAGTGGTTGATATGCCATAAAACCCAACCAACCAACCTGTTTAGTTTCATTTACCTAGACTATCTAGTTACTCAGATATTTACATCTCAAAATTTTTAAACACCCTGCATATATATATATATATATATATATATATATATATATATATATATATATATATATATATAAATGGACAAAGTTCGAGAATTATTTTTAAGACATTTTTTATGTTTATACATTCTTTTTATAGATACAAATATTTAAGTAAATGCACTGTTTATAATAAACAACATTTACCGGCCGAGAAATTTTCATAGATAATATGCGTCCTCCAATAGGAATCGAACCTGTATCTTATACGGAACCGTGCCTTAACCGATCGAGCCACGGAGGATCGTTCGATTAGCAATGTCGATTTTAAACTTCAATCTTCCATGAATCTCTCACGTACATTCATATCTGCTCAAAGCGTATCCAAATGTAAACAAATGACGTCACACATTATGAAATGGACAAAGTCCGACAATTATTTTTTTATAACATTTAGTCGAATCCATTACATTCACTAATACCCTTGAAAAGGGTATGAATCATCCAGCTATGGGTAATTAGCAGGACAGACTGGGTTCTATAGCCTTGGATGGCAACTGGTCTAGGAGAAGGAAAACTCTGAATTCAAAACCAGCGGAAGGTTGTTTGGGCATCTCTATATTCCCTTCAAAAAGTTTGTTTGGTTCTGCACAAAGCCTTCATCAAATCAAATATGGCAGTCGGTTGTAACTGAGGAATTGAGTTGCTGGCCCTCATACGTCGAATACGACGGGAGCGTCCACCATATATATATATATATATATATATATATATATATATATACACCATATTACCGTGATGAAAAATTCTCCAAGCTTAATAAAAAAAGCTTTTATCGGCAAAGTCTTTCTTTCATTTATAGAACGTTCGAAAATTTGGTTAAATATTTTGTTTTTTTTTTCGTCAGCGCGGCATTTTTTATTCGACAAAAATTAGTAAATAGCGGTGAAAAACAAATCGATTTGGAAATTCTTGCAAAAATCAAATAATTGTCGAAATTTAATGAAACTTTCAGGACTTATTGGCACATGAATTAAATTATGTTAGAAAGGTTTTTAGAAAATCTTGATAAAAATATTTGTTGTGTTATCCCTCCCCTATTTATTTAATTTTATGAAATTTCGAAAAATTAAATTTTTTACGCTTAATGTTTATATTAGTTAAAAGCAGAATTCCTTGGACAATTTAAATCATCAATTATTTTTTTGGTGAAAGGGAAGCGCCAATTACCAAAAATCTGTTGTAAATTGCAAAATAAAAAAAACAATAAAACTAAGACATTTAATTAGAAAAAGCATTTAATATATATTATGGACACTATTGTCTTAATAAAAAAAATCTTTTTCGATGAATAATTAATTTTTACAAGAACTGTTTTTCATTTTTTCATTTTAATTATAATAATTTATAAAGTTATACACCTTTTAGATTTCTTCATTACTTTGTCCACCTTATATGATAGCGTAAAAACTGTATTTACTAATCAGAGATGGAAAAAGGTTAGTAGAATTCATCGAAAAATGTTTGTTTAAACGTGCCGATTTTTGTAAATACGGATGTCCATAGACGACATTATCAGGAAATAAGAGCGATAACTATAGTAAATTTGAAGCCAAAGAACCTAAAATTCAATAAAACATTAGATTACGGAAAATATTTTCCTAAATTTTAAAGATTACTGGATGGTTAAAAACTATATAAAAAGGCGCTCACATTATATTCCTCAAGTACTATTTACTGTAGAAAAAATGATATAAACTTCCGTCTGTCATTCAGACAGACGGAAGTTTATATCAATCCCAAGCTGTTAACACCTAAAATAAACAGCTACCACCGTGTTAAATATGCATTTCTGCGATATTTTAAACTTGAACTAAGTAATATTTGTTTCAAATCAGATTAATTAAACTTTAAATCAACTAATATTCCGCAAATAAAGTTGCAGAAAAGTTTATTTTGAAAGAGTTTCTAATAAAGAGAATTACACACACAGACACACACACACACACACACACACACACACACACACACACACACACACACATATATATATATATATATATATATATATATATATATATATATATATATATTATTAATTAAAGTATGTCAAACACTTAAAATCCCACAGGTAATAATTTTTATTTCATGAGAGCTCTAAAAAAGCAGCTCTCAATCTTCAAGACCTACAAACAAATCCCAATCACAAAATGTTTTAGAGTTCTCATGAAATAAAAATAATTTTGCTCTGTCTTTTGACATAGATCTCTCCCTGGATGTATATCCCCCCTCTGGAAATTTCATACGGATTATCATATTGTATCATTAATATATATATATATATATATATATATATATATATATATATATATATATATATATATATATATATATATGATTTCAAAAATACTCGTTTACATTCATTACTATTTAAAACTGCGATAAAAATAACAGATAAGTGCGTACAATTGCTGATAGACATAGGTTAGTTGTCATGGTAGTACTAGTAGCAATGGTCGTTGTAATTAACCTCTTTCTTGTCGCTTGTTGGCAACCCTTCGTAAAAGGCATCTTTAATTTAAGAAAGATCACAAACTGAGACAGGGTCATTAAACATAAAAGCACCCGGGGTACAAAATACATCAGCTACCCAGCGTTACCCTCACCGTAGTTTAATTTGGTCTCCTCTTCGCCTGGGTTGGCATTTTCTTCTTTTGAACGTCGAGTATCGTCTCTTGCCATTTCACATGTATGTATGTATGCATGTATGTATGTATGTACAGGTGTGTCCGTGGGTGTGTTTTTGTGTTGAATATCTTATCACTGCTAAATTAAAGCAGCCCTATTTAGCCAAATTAATCAAGAGAACGAATTTAAGGTTGGCGGTAGTTTCAAGACCCATCCCCGACCCTGACTCCCAATTTGTAAAACCTCAGTGTCTTCGTCTTAAAGATTACTTCTAATGTGTAGTAAGAAAAGTAGAAATAAAAAGGAGGAGTAATTAATTGTGAAGAAAAAAAGTAAGAAATAAAGAGGATGAGAAGGAAAGAAAAAAAGCAAGAAAGAAAGAGGAGGAGGAAGAAAGAAACAGATAGAAAGAGGGGGAAATAAATAAAGGGAGAGGAGGAGAAACGAAAGAAAAGGCAAAAAAGAATGAGCATGAATGACAAAAGCAAGAAAGAAAGCGGAGGAAAGAAAGAAAGAAAGAAAGAAAGAGAGCGGAAATAAGAAAGAAAATGAGGAAGAAAGAGGAGGAAAGAAAGAAAGAGTAGAAGAAATAAATAAAGAGAACGAGAAAGAACAATGAAAGAAAGAAGAGAAAGAAAAAGAAAGAAAGAGGGTGGGGAGAAAGAAAGAAAAAGGATGGGAAAAGAAAGAAAGAAAGAGGAAAAGAAAGAGAGAGTAGGAGAAATAAAGTAAGATGGGAAGGAGAAAGAAGAAAGAAGAAAGAAAGAAAGAAAGAAAGAAGAGAAAGAAAAAAAGAAAGAGGTGAGGGGGAAGAAAGAAAGAGGATGAAGAAAGAAAAACAAAAAGAAAGGAGGAGGAAGAAAGAAAGAAAGAAAGAAAGAAAGAAAGAAAGAAAGAAAGAAAGAAAAAGGAGGAAACAGTAAGCAAGAAAGAAGTGGAAAATAAGAAAAATGTTGGCTTGAAAAAAAAATGAAAGGCATAAGAGAAAGTTATGTACTGAGGAAGAAATATAGAGAAAGAAATGTAGGGAGAAATACAAAAAAAAAACAATCTATCTATCTATCTATCTATCTATCTATCTATCTATCTCTCTCTCTCTCTCTCTCTCTCTATATATATATATATATATATATATATATATATATAAACAAGACAGAAAGAACGAAATAAAAAAGAAACAAGTAGAAAAATGTAGAGATAAAAAAGAAACTGGCGGATAGAAAGAAAAAGAGAAAAATAGACAGACGCACCCCCCCCCAAAAAAAAAACAAACAAACCGACGCAGAACTGAATGAAAATAAGAAAACTCATTTCAAATATTATTTTCATTATG